AAAACATTTAGCTCAACAAAGCCCACATGTTGCTTTATTGGGCAGAATTGCAATGCATTTGATGATATATTGTCTCATATTTTGCGTTTATGAGGTTTGTTTATCAAATCAAGTAATGAAACTGTGGCATGTATGGGCCAATCATAAATGTCAAAGATAAATATTGCATGCCCTTTGGATGCTGCATGTGAAATTGATGAGTTGATGCATCATTATAACTAACTTGGAATCTATCTCCTTTTGTTAATCGTCTTATTATCATCATTTTTACTTACATTTACTCTCCACAATATTAAATTTTAAAAAATATTATATTTGCTTATCCATATTTTTTTATATACCTATATCTACCGGAATATTTATAAAGGCGGAGGGCCTATCAGTCCGAATACTGTGGCCACCAGTGCTAACTCCTCTTCGTCTGGACTCCTGATTCCTATCTCCCAACAACTTACTGGTCCTGTTCGTCTAGTATCTACAACCTCGGGACCGAATCTTATCGTCTCTATGACTCCAGTCGCATCCTTGGCTGCTCAGACGGGAGGTGTAGCTGGTATGAGCAGCAGCAACACCACAACTACAATGGCAGTCACCACAACCGTCTGCAATGGGCCCCCTGGAGTAATGGGTTTCGGTGGACAGAGTGCGCTGCAACCACAGCCGTTAGTCTCTATTTCATCCGGAGCAGGGCAGCGAATGAGTTCAACTGGGACCCCACAAGCTAGTTTGCTTAATTCTCAAAGTGGTCTTATTTTGCTGCCGCCTCAACAGCAGCAACCCCTTCACACGGGTCAGGCGATACGTCAGCAAAGTTCTGCAGTTACATCACATACTACATCGGGACAATATTCAACTTGTAGGCTTCGTTTTTGTCCTTCTTTTTTCCGCACTATTAATATTATTTATTTCATATTTGCATTGATTTTTTTTTAATTTTTGTAGTTGAATGCTCTTGATTTATTCTGGGACCATTCTCTTCGATTTTTTTGAGGGAATATGTGCATTGTTTCCATTGCTAGTGAACCCTACGCTCTGCTGCTGTTATTAGTCCTTATTAGGATTATCCTTGCCATAGTGGCACATACCTGTCT